TTGTAGGTTATATCTAGTTTCAGTATGAAATCTGCAGTACTAGTTTGTTGTGTACTGGTATTGGCGTTCTTCGGCCAATCAGAAGCTACGTCGTGTGTGCAGTGCAGCCCAGATGTAGTGTGTGAAGACTTGCCGTCATATTGCCAGCCTGGTAGGGAAACGTGTGGGTGTTGTGACGTGTGTAGAGGGAAACTTGGCGAAAATTGTACCGTATCTTCTGTACAGTAAGATATTTTGTTAATGTATTCTTTTATTTTATTTTGTTTGTTTTGTTTTTTTTTTTGGGGGGGGGGGGTATTTTTTGGTGGGGGTGAAGTTGACGACTTGTAAAATTACAAAAAAATATATTTGCCAATGTACAATGTGACGTCATGTAAAGGTATTCCCTTGAGTTGACCGAGACTACCATATGTGAAGACCAATTAAAATTAAAGCGGAACAACCCAACAGTTTCTACCAAAAGTAATTGTTAACACCCATCAATTAATTACATATTTAAATTCTTAACAATTACGACATTTTGTCCTGTCATCGCTTCCATATTGGAATTGTGAAGTCATAGCGATCGTATTTGAATGCAAAGAGCGTGCATCCGAGTCTATCACTGTCCTTACTATTTTCCTTATAGTCATAGTATCAAATCTATTGACCACAGTTCGCAAGCATCGACAAATCAATTGCTTATCTCTGGGCCCAACAAAATTAGAGTTATTGTATTTCAATGTGTGACGACCTCAACGGAGGTATATATATCAATAGTCCCTTGGTATTTTATCCGACAGTCTGGCCCTCCAGCAATGTAATATAATAGTATCAACATGTAACATTCCTTTTTTCAGATGTGAATCCCATTTGATTTGTATTAATGAAAATGGCGCGCAGGCTGCTTATTGGTGGGATTTTGGATTTAAAGGAACCTGTAGGACGGCAACACCGGATCCAAGATCTCTATAAATAAAATACGATTTTATTGACAAACCCATCTTTTTTATTTGCCTAAATATGCTTTTAAAGGGACAATACCACTCTTGCTGGCTTGACAGCTCCAGAAAATAAATAATATCCTTATCTTATTACTAGATGTTTTAGTGTCCTACCTGTTGTGCAAATTATCCATTACATCCTATTTTACTTGTCCAGAGGGTTCTAAAATATCTTTAAATCGAAGTTACATTTGAAAAGGTTTACGTTAGACGTTTCAAACCATTAAGTTGAATTTTTCCAATTTTTTAAATAAGGTGTGTTTAGATGAAATTTGTATCATCAATTAATAGGAATATTGTAAAATAGTACAATTTGTTGACCAGATTAAAGATTGGGACATATTATTCAGTTACAACAAGAGTGGTATCCAGCCTTTAAAACAAACGAAATGAACAGAAATTTGATTTCTCTTCCTGATATTGTTCATCGACTGCGTGGGGGGTTGGATGGCCGAATGGTTAGCACGTACGCGCTGCGCTGTATCATACGGTCTGTCATTGAGTCAACTGGCGGGGTTTCGATTCCCCGGTTGTACGTGACAAGGAGTAGGGTCACCTGTCCAACCTCGTGGGTTTTCTCCGGGACCGCCGGTTTCCTCCCACTGCTAAAGACCCCTACGCGCAAGCGAATTATTGAAATAAAATTGAACCATGTGTTAGTCCCGAAATGACCTAGTTTGTGTCGAGTGGACGTTAAACCCCATTTCTCTCTCTCTCTCTCTCATCGACTGCTTTAAAGGACGGTGTTGGTGCCAGCCAATATTAAATATGTGATAGAACTGGTTAAAGGACATTGTTGGTGCCAGCCAATATTAAATATATGATAGAACTGGTTAAACACATTCCCAATATATTTATTTTAACACAGAAAACATAGCTACGGTAGATGTGTATCGAAGAGAGAGAGAGAGAGATGGGGTTTAACGTCCACTCAATACAAACTAGGTCATTTCGGGTCTAACACATGGTTCAATTTTATTTCAATAATTCCCTTGCGCGTAGGGGTCTTTAGCAGTGGGAGGAAAGCGGAAGACGCGGAGAAAACCCACGAGGTTGGGCAAGCGACCCTACTCCTTGTCACGTACAACCGGGGATTCGAAACCACGCCAGTTGACTCAATGCGGGCCTTATGATACAGCACGCACGTGGTAACCATTCGGCATCCACCCCCCTCGAAGAATTGAAGAAACGGTAAGTGGTACTAAAAATGAAAATACGATTAGTTATCCTGATATATAAGTGACTGAAGTTAAGAGCGACAACGGATACACGGTCGATGTTCGACTCACTGATACTTCCTGGAAGACGAAAAGTTATTTTATTAGACTGCCATGATATAAACGAATGCGAGAAAAATCGAAAAAGTCCGTGCATTCCCTTGTTTATATTTATCCTCTACTTACAGTTTCTACACATGTTAAGCGTAAATACAGTTTATTCAGTCAATTGTATATCAATCTGATGAAAAAACAGATCCTATTTCGTTTCGTTTTTTATAGTTTTAAAATTTCGTTTTATTTGTATGTGCCACACTAGAATCTGGAAGAGTTGTGATATAGCCTGCGAGGAATTAGCCAATGAAACGAACTGTTACGGCGATATCTTGGCGTGCGATGCAAGGAACTGTGGGTAAAGCACTAGAAAAGTCAACGGCGATTGATTAATCAATGTCTGACGTCATAGGGCCAAAAGCCGTTCGTACGACCTTTTACTACAACCGGTGAGATCTTCATGTAGTGCAGGCCATCGAAAGTATAAAAATAACGAAACGAAATATAGATCTGTCTATTAATCAGATTGATTATATATAAGGGTAACTCCTATATTCCTTTTTGTAGTCACGTGGGGCAAATACAGGCAACACACATATATATAATAATAATAATAATAATAATAATTCATTTATTCGTACGCAAATAAGTACACTTACAAAGATTTAAAGAGGAATATATAAATATACAAATAATATGTACAGTGAACAGTAATCATATAATAACTAATCTGTACACAGAAAGTTTATAATTTCATTAAGTTTATTTATATCTTGGTTTTTGTGATACCAATTTAACTGTCAAGATTGCTTTTACATGCACTCCAATTTATCTTTAACGTGCACGCCAATGTCTACACAGGGGCCCGGTTTATCGTTCCATCCGAACACTTGGAGTTCTTTCTCAGACCCTCCGTGTTTTAATGAGAAACCCCACCGGGACCGGACCCGAGACCCACAGGTTATAGATCCAGCGTTCTACTCACTGAGCCAGCGCGGCTCTCGCTTTGAAAACAATCCCAACATTTGCCCATTGACTTCAATGTTAAATGGCTGTAACATCACAGGCTGTAGCTCTTTGCTCAACATTCCGTTGGTTCCAATCTTTATAGACACAATGGGGACCACATTTGGCTATCTCCTCATCATAATTTTGTAGGGGGTTGACCGTTTAGAATTTTTGCTACGGGGATTCGAAGTTGACTGGGGTGAAAATCTAACTTCCGACACAATGATTGCTCTGCAGAAAGACACATTACACCCCTTATCCTTTCGCTGTAATATCATCAGTATTACCCCAAACAGGTATGAAATTGCAAATTTGATCACCTTTCTCCAATTCTAGACCAAAAAGTCAACCCAAAAATGCAGGAAGAGGGGAAAAAAAAAATTAAGGGAAAAATTGTCTGTTTATAACTCGCACTAGTCTTAATCCATGAAGTGTCCACCGTCACCCCTAAACGAGCAGATAGTCGCCATTCTTGTAACCGGATAACAGGGACTTGGGGCGACGATGACTTAATTTCTGCCAGCACTAGAGTAGGAAGTGAAATGATGTGAAATCGAGTTTAAGATGGATTGCGTTTTTGTTCAAAATCTAGGGATGTTTAAGATCTAAGATACCGATTTTATGGCATCCGATATGTGTGCTTGACTGGATTGACATGAAAATATAAAAAATGCAATGAAATGGGGTTTAACGTCCTACTGTCCTGTTCCAATTGGACTATAATGTGCTATGAGGAAAATTTTGCCCGGACAGAGTTCACACTGTTTTTAACTAAGATAGGATGCTTTTAGTTTCACCTCGCAAACGTAATTTCTTTATTAACGCATGTAATATCTGAAAAAATAAGTTAATTTTATACTATTAGAACTATTTAAAAATAACCGACAAATTGACAGTGTTGCTGATTTTAGTCTGATGTGATATCCCATTGTTCCAGAACTATATAGTAGCATCTCTTATCTCGATTCGTCGGCATTTTCCGGCGTGGTTCCGCCTTGTCAGTGATGCGGGACAGCTTCTAGACGGTCGGATGGGACGAAAAACCGAAGTCTCGTGTACATATTGGCGTGCACGTAATAGGTCCCTTGGCTGCTGGAATTCGATGTAAGAGTAGGCGCAGTGCTGCTGTCCTGGCAAAATGTCCCTCATCGCACATTATATGGCTTATGCCCGTCTTCATTAGCCAATTGTCGTTCTTTATTTTTTCAAGCAAATTATTGTCCGACCAGTTAACAATAATACAGTAATGAACATCATCGCTGAAGGAAGTCCCACCAGGCGTCGCTAGTAAAAACTCGGTTCCACATATCGTTTTTAAGAGACCATATTTCGAAGTATTGGGATTAAATTCCATATTAACAACAAAAACTAACGTTTGTCAACACACCAGTTGGTAATGCATTAGGTGACTTTAATAACACTTAAAAATCAAATATCCCCTACTTTTTTTGAATAGTATATTTGTCTTTAGTAATAATGACCGGGGCTAGGCGGAAATTTCATTCGCTTAGTTCTCGTCTCATAGTGGATCAATTTGACTGAAATTTTCAGCAAATTGCCTTTACATTATCTAGTTTTTAACTATTATTGTGAGAACTGCCAACTCTTCCATTATGTATCTTTAAGTGTATATTCTTGGGTCAGAAATATAATAGTCGATTTCATTGGGTTGTATGTGTTGTTTTGCTCTGTGGGACAAAGGAGAATGATACAAAACAATAAAAATTATATAAATTATAATTTTATTTCTCAAACTTTCTAGTTTTGCGACAAGTGCCGACTGGTGATAACATAGCAGGATCAAATCGATCTTCATTGAATGGACGATCGCATATTAATCCAGTTTCACATCTGTATAAAAACAAACAGAAAATAAATTTAAACACACGCGTCATTATTGTTTGGAATTGAAATAAAATATTGCAGCTATAAAAAAAATGAAATGAAATGGGGTTTAGCGTCTTACTGTTTTGCTGCGAACTGTGCTAATGAAGACGGGCATACGCCATACAGTGTGCTATGAGGGATTTTGCCCGGACAGCTGCACTACGGCCTACTCTTATATCGAATTCCAACTGTCAAGGGATCTTTTACTTGCACGCCAATGTGTACACGGGACTTCGGTTTTTCGTCTCATCCGAATGACTAGACAGCTGTCCTTGTCAGGCCCTCCGTCTTTGCAGCTATAAACGTGGATTTAAAATAGCAAGACTTCTTTCACTGGGTCACAAATAAAATCTGTCGAAGGAGTAAGTCAAATTTTAGTCTAAAATGAATAAGTAAGACAAATTCCACGCACTAGTAAAAACCCTAAATTGAATCGTATAGTGTTTGCACTATCACTAATCGTATAAAACTTGTTCTATCACTACATGAAATAAAACATCAGATTAACTACTTTTCTGCTCCAAACGGGCTAATAAAAACGAGCATACGCCATACGGTGTGCTATGAGGAACTTGTGCCGGGAACAAAATCGAATTTCAACTATGAATGTGTACATGGGATCTCGTTGTTGTTGTTCTATACAAGTTAGCGAGACAGCACCTTACTGACTAAGTCACTGCGGCTCTCTTTGATATAAATAATGATGGCATTATGATAACAAATAGAGACCAATGTAAACATAAAGGGGAAGATGCATTTAGCAATTAAGGAATGAAATGAAATGAAATGAAATGGGGTTTAACGTCCTACTGTTCTGCTCCTAACCTGGGCTAATGAAGACGGGCATACGCCATACAGTGTGCTATGAGGGAAATTTTGCCCGGGCAGCGGCACTACGGCCTACTCTTATATCGAATTCTAACTGCCAAGGGATCTTTTACGTGCACGCCAATGTGTACACGGGACCTCGGTTTTTCGTCCCATCCGAACGACTAGACAGCTTTCCTTGTCAGCCCTTCCGTCCTGCATCACTGACAAGGGAGAACCACGCCGGAAAATCTGGATGAACTTTCTCGGCCAACAATTAAGGAATACATTAAACAAAACACAATTTTGATTGGAAATCAATCACTGGTTTCTGTGGATCTGTTTACCTTTTTTCGTTATGTGTTAATTGTTATATTGCCGAAATCTATCAATGGTACGCCGGGAGTTTAATACGAAGACTGTACAAGTTATATTACCTTGGTGACCAAATACCACAACGCTTGCCTTCTTTAATCCACACCGTTGACAACAATTGCAGCGACCAGGGACTAGTTAACAATCCTTAGATTTGTCGGAGCAGCTCCTTTTGTCTTCTGCTGTACATCTTCCACATCGTAAGGCAATACCTGATGTACCAGCAGCCCATGTTACTGCTACTAGAGCAGATAATACAACTAACAACTTCATACTGAAACAAATGGTAATTGATATAATACGTAGTTACAATATAAGAATCTCATCTTGGTATCTGATATATCAATATATCCTCCTGCTACTAGCGTACACGCTAGGATTAACAACTCTTTACGAAAAAAAAAAACCACACCCCGGTAGTTATGTTATACGTAGTTACAATAATGTAAGTGTCTTATCGTTGTATATGATCTAGCAACCTATCTTATACATCTACTAGAGAGAGAGAGAGAGACAGAGAGAGAGAGATGGGGTTTAACGTCCACTCGACACAAACTAGGTCATTTCGGGACTAACATATGGTTCAATTTTATTTCATTAATTCGCTTGCGCGTTGGGGTCTTTAGCAGTGGGAGGAAACCGGAGGGCCCGGAGAAAACCCACAAGGTTGGACAGGCGACCATGCTCCTTGTCACGTACTACCGGGGAATCGAAAGCAGGCCAGTTGACTCAATGACAGACTTTATGATACAGCGCGCACGTGCTAACCATCCAGCCATCCAACCCCCCATCTACAACTCATATCCAAAGCGAAATTCAATTCACTTATGAAAAGGGCCGGTTGTTATGTATCTAGATGCCCCGATCTTCGATGTAAATGTTCACTTACCTGCTTTAAGTTTGAGAGATGAATCTTGCCTGAGGTAAATATTTTCGCCCTATATTAGGGTGACCCATGTACTCACAGACATACAGTCCACCGCTGATAGTTCGAGACTACCACTGAAGCGTGCAAATTCGCCGTGCCGAGACCAACTTTCTGACAGTATGATACTATAAATAGCCCTTGCACGTGCAATTCTCTACAAATCTATCAACTATTACAGCCGTAAAAAATTTATTGTTGACGATTTTGAATAGCAGTAAAATTAAGCTTCTTGGTTATTACAGCAGATTTAGAAATTACGTTCGTTTCATTTTTTAAATCGCTTTATATTAACTGTACCGTTAAGAGCGGCATCTTTTGGTTTAGTACAAATAATATCTCTGAATCACTCGGGTTAGACAGGAACATGATACTAGCAGTAGTTTCATTTTACTTTTACAAGCTTCTTAAAACGATTGTTGAGCTACCTAATGTGCTTATTTCTAAATTCAATTTCTTGTTCTAGCTTTCTGTTATGTTTCGTAAAAAAGTAGTCTTGATTATCCCGACCTGTCAATCAGACGTAGAATGGTCGATAGACTGGTTAAGCGAGACTAATTTCAAAACAAGGGCACGTAACCTATCTTTTACTAAAAAGTGTCTGGATGTTATGGACGACTCTTGAAACCAGTTTTCAGTCTATTATTTATACATGATTAATGGTCATAGCTTATTAAGTACAACATGATCGTTTATTTAGTGACTATAATTGTGTGAAACTGATTTGGGGCTTGGCATATATATAAATATTGTGGCGTAATTGTCGAGATATATGGAGATATTTATTTATGGTGGGTCACCCTACCTATATATTGCATTGAGGCTGACTGTGACACATTTGTAGGGGTGGTCTATTAAATTTTAAACTAATCATATTCCCGTGTTGTGCAGGTTAAAACCATTGAATATTCATAAGGTAATCGATTCAATTAATATATCATTATATTTCTTGTGTAGATCCGCTTATGTATAGAATGGGCGGATAATAAAAACAATTTACTGCTAGTCACTGGTCGATATAACACACTCGGTGGCGTGAAGCGGTTTGTTGATTCCCGGAGTCAATTCATTAATTGCATAGGGTCTATCTGTGCCACATAAGCAACCAAGTTAATGATAGTTTGCAACTGCAAAGACCTTAACTTATTGATTGGATAACCCACTCACCCCCCCCCCCCCCCATGAAATGGACCCACTTCTACCCCATTCCTGTACGTCAATGAACAGAGTAGAACAATTTATTCTTATCTAATTCAAAGCTATTTTACATCTGAATTATTACATAGACGTTGAACAAAACAAACCAAAACCATCTACAATGTCTCGGGCTATAGCATCATTGACTTATAAGTGATTTAGCATATGTTATGTTATTGAAGAATTGGATAGGGTATGTCATAGTCGTATAGTACACATCAAGGGAGGGGGGGGGAGCGAATGGTTCGCACGTGCGCGCTGTATCATATGGCCAGTCATTGAGTCAACAGGAGTGGTTTCGAATCCTTGGTTGCACGTGACAAGGAGTAGGATCGCCTGTCCAACCTCGTGGGTTCTCTCCAGGTCCTCCGGTTTCCTTCTACTGCTGAAGACCCCTACGCGCAAGCGAATTATTGAAATAAAATTAAACCATATGTTAGTCCCGAAATGACTTAGTTTGTGTCGAGTGGACGTTAAACCCCATTTGATTTGTACGAGAGAGAGAGAAAGGAGAGAGAGAGAGAAAACATAATTTAATTTCAGATATATATATAAGGTTCAATAAAGTTTATTTATTGTAAATAAAAATGATGTATAAACGATAAATACGATAATTGTATTGGGCTGTAAATGAAATGAAGTTTAACGTCATACTGTTCTGCTCCGGACTGGGCTAATGAAGACGGGCATACGCCATACAGTGTGCTATGAGGGAAATTTTGCCCGGACAGCGGCACTACGGCCTACTCTTATATCGAATTCCAACTGCCAAGGGACCTTTTACGTGCACGCCAATTTGTACACGGGACCTCGGTTTTTCGTCCCATCCAAACGAGTAGACAGCTGTCCTTGTCAGGCCCTCCATCCTGCATCACTGACAAGGAGAAATCACGCCGGAAAATCTGGATGAACTTTCTCGGCCAATGCAGGGATCGAACACCCGACCTCCAGGCTAGCGAGCCAGCGTCTTACCCACTTAGCCACATGATCCCCCGTATTGGGCTGTAATGTCAATAGAAAAGTCAAATTACGCTCACATGAACATTATTTGACTACATGCTATAAGAGTAGTTATGTCCTTCACCTACTGAAAAACTTGTTTCAAAGTGTTTTCTAAAAGGGTTTAGCTTAAACATACATTATGCAAGAGTTAAACCTGCCTATTGCAGGTCTTTCTTTGGGCCTGAAATGTTATATAAACTATTACATAGACATTTATTAACAAAACAAGACAATAATCAACTGTCGATGGCGTCGGATACTCGAGATTTTAACTAGATTAAAACGGTTCGCCATTTAAAAATTAATTTTATACCAGTACCCTGATTACCGCTGTGCACACATCTTGTCAAAACTACAAACAATGATAACTTGGATGAGAATGGTGTAATTTGAATGAAATTTTCAATATTTTATTTTTTTATCATTTTTTTAAAAATTATTATAGCAAGAATGACTAACTCTTTATTAAACTCTTAACTAATGTATGTTTAAACAATATTTTACTTAATAAACTGAATTGGATTGAACAACAGGTAAGGAAGGGCCTATATAAGTTCTCTCCAAACATATAAAATATACAATAAACAATGGCCGACATATGTATAAAGATATATAAATTAAAATCTCATTTGCTATTATGAAAATAAGAAATATTGCATTGTGTAGGTATAGAAGCAGGAATCAAAATTAGATTATTCGGGGAGGCTAGAGGCGCCTTGGGTTAAGGCAACAACAAGGACCATGTAAGTTGGTTGGGATGTGAACCCAGGCCAGTGAGCTGAGCTGGAAACAAGCCTGCTACAAGACAAGGAACCTGGTAAATAGTCTAATAAATGTAAGGTACAAGTCGATATGTTTTCACCGAAATGTAAAATATTATTTAAAATATCAAGTTGTAGACAGAGTATTCATTTTCAGGTAATGTGTTGCTAGATAAAAGAGAGAGAGAGAAAGAGAGAGAGAGAGTTTAACGTCCAGTCGACAAAACCTAGGTCATTTCGGGACTAACATATGGTTTTAACTTTATTTCAATAATTCGCTTGCGCGTAGGGGTCTTTAGCAGTGGGAGGAAACTGGGGGACCCGGAGAAAACCCACGAGGTTGGACAGGCGATCGTACCCTGTCACGTACAACCTTGGATTCGAAACCATGCCAGTTGACTAATGACAGGTGTTATGATACAGCGCGAACGTGCTAACTATTCAGCCATCCAACCCCAACTCGATAAAATAATACATTTATTACCAGTGAAGTATCCGGTAATAATTATTGGTTTGTATTATCGTTTCGCTTCAATGAATAGGAGTACCAGTAATTGTAGATAATTTTATGAAATTTTTAACTTGCAAACTACCAATAACTAAATTAATATTAAAACAAGCGAAGTATTCGGATTTAAGTTGCACATTGTTATTATATTCACACGTCGGTCCATATTTATGCCCGAAGTAATGTCCGTCAGGAACTATTAGAAATGGTTCGAGAATCGGTCTGTCGGACTGGACTGTCCGTCACACTTTAAGACGGGTCACAGCCCCTAGATCCGTGATCATTTCTCGGGGAACAGGGTTTGACGATGGAATCGGATAGAACGAACGGACCCTAGTGAAGATACTTGTACTTTGCTACCTCTGAAATCTACGGGCTAACTCCAGGAAAGCCGAAAATCCAAGATGGCGGCCAAACTCTGAAATTGACCTTGACAAACATCATTTTATAGGTTTTGTTAGTCACCCGACTCAGTTTGGACAGGTTCCATTCATTTCACAAACGGTTGATCCAATATGGCGACAGAAACTGTCTCGAAAAGTATTCCTTCATTACCACTAGCACAAACACGTGTGAAATGTTGTTTCAGGGATTGTGGGAGACAAGAAACGCGAACATGTCATTTCCGAATTCGGGCATTTATAGTCTTTTCAAAGGGTATGCATTTAGACACTCAAATCCCAACATATTTAAGGATCAAATCGGCGTCTTTTTTCATGATGGCTGAATAGATATCTCTGAAACGCGGTAAGGATGATAAGTTAAGAGTAAATTAGCCTGAAAGCAGTTGAAGAATTTGGAATATAGTGGCATGAATGTTACTTAGCTTTCCGTTGTTGAGATTTAGTCTTATTGAAATTGCTCGATTCCATGAATTTTGGTGCAAAAGTACCTTGATTAAGCACATTTTGGATCCGTCGTGAACCCTTTAATGGGTTTCAACAAAATTGGGTAGGTATGTCGATCGAGTAGTGCTTGTCCAGATCCGTTCATGCGCTATACATTCATTTCACGGGGAATAAAACCAACATTAAGTTTGTTGAAATTTGAAATTATCGCTGTTACCTTTGTTATAAAAGGTTTATTTCATCTAATTTTACATTTTTTTGAAATATTTATTTTCTCAAATTCTTAGTAGTAGGCCCTATAATTGAGTATTTGATTGGCGGTCGGGACAATGATGACTTCGGTATCATTAAATCCTTGCCCGCTACCGAAATTGGCACCGTGAAGGGTGACATTTAGACATTGTCGACTTCTTGATTCGCCTAAAACTCATGATGGACTTTAACTGAATTCAAAACCTATTACCTGGATTAAGCAGGGGCAGCTTTGAACGGAACATTTCAATACAAATTCTTCTTTAAAGCTTAATCCTGGCTATATGTTATGAATTTTATACAATATACATGTATCATGACGGTTAGAAGAATCAACCTACCCCCTTCCCTTACACACACACACACACCCGTATTCTCAGTCCTCGAGGATCGCGTCGGTCTCGAATCCAGGCGAGAGAGCAGAGCTGCTACAAGTAAAACA